GGAGGTGCTGGGACTTTGTTCAAAGCACGGCCAGGACCAGGAGTCTCGTTGTGGCAGTTGGGATTTCCAACATAATGAACGTGCCAGACCCCTATCAAGAACCTAAAACCAATACCCTGAAGCCTTGACCGGCATGACTAGCACACACAGAAAATATGTATATGTACGGTATATATACGTATATAATATACGTAATATATATATATATACATATGTATTACGTGGGTGTGTGTGTGTATATATATATATATCAACTTTACATCTATGTATGTATACCGGCCACACACATACACACTATGATGTTGCGACCCATTTTTCCACATGCATGCAACAAGTTGCAGTAGTCCGAAGCAGAAATAAGACCAGGCGATCTTCTCAAAGCTGGATGCCGTGGTCACAAAAGCCCAGGCCTTGTAACTGTTATAGCGTGGGCATTAGCATCGGCTTGTTGTAGAGGCCTCGACAAATAGAATAGGGTTTCGGGGTACGTTTACCATAATTATAATAAGAATCTTGAAGGATAATATTGGTAATGATTACGGCCGCCATATTAAGCCCTGGTTTCTGGAATCTCTATGGAACGGACCGGAGTCTCCTTGAATCCTACTTGGAGCGTCGGGGGACGTTCTAAGTAGATATTTTGTAGAGTCATAAGTACCATAACTCCTGTGGAATCTCTTTTACGGTACTTATAACTCTACTCCTTACTTACTAATATTGAACTAAGCCCCCTGACCCTCCAAGTGGTGTTGAGGGCCCCGCAGTGGCCCCCTGGAAGCCATGCGTCTCATGCCTCAAATCGGGTCACCCCCGCACCAAAGAAATTAAAGAAACCACCTGGTACCTGTGAGAGCAGCCGGGCAATTTCATGAATAACATGGGTTTACATACATAGAAGGTTTCGACATGTCCGATAGCATGGTCTCAGACCCCGGACCTACACATACCCCAAACCAAGCCTAAACTCTAGACTCTAGACCTGATAAAAACCCGGACCCCAAACCCTCAACCCTAAACTTTCAACCGTGAACCCCAAACAACCTAAACCCCAACCTCTTTCAGTAACCATAAACCCCAAACAGCCTAAACGCCAACCTCTTTTCAGTCCTGATGCCAGGCCACCATAACCCTAAACCCTAAACCCTAAACCCTGATGCCAGGCCACCATTGACCAGCTGCAGCAGCAGGCTGTTCCCTTCGCCTCCAGCTCGTCAACATTGACAGCAGAAGGCTCCCAGAACCCTCCAATTTCAGGGTTTAGGGTTTAGGGTTTGGAGTTTAGGGTTTAGGGTTTAGGGTTCCTTTGAGGGTTCCTATTAAGGGATGTATAGGGTTTAAATGTAGGATTGACAGCAGAAGGCTTTTCTGAGGGTACGTTTAGGGATGTGTTATTTCGCGTTTACGGTCGGAAGGCCATTGAGTCTCTTTGGAGTGCAGAAATCCAATTTTTTGAGAATCCTAGCAGTATCAGGATCCTCCGAGCTTTTGAAGTACTCAGTAGCTGAGTGGATACACTTTACACCTGTTGGGATAATATTACCCTTACACTATGAATTCCTTTATGGAGTATGAACCTTAAACCCTTTCACGGACACTTTTGGGGATAATAATACCCCTTATAAATCTGAAAGTTTACACTTTTGGGGGCTTATGAACTCAGCAACTAAGACTTGTCTGAGGGTTTAGGGATGCTGAATTGCAGGGTCGGGATTCGGGTTTTAGGGCATTCAGGGTTTACCAAAACCTTGCACATTTCTGAGGGCTTAGGGACCTAAGCCTGGTTTTCGGTAATTGTGAGGACAAGGCGTTATCGAATGGCTTGTGAGCCATCTATATTTGTTGCGCTCAGAGAAACCTATTGAGGCCTCTTTGAGTAGGTACTTCAAGAGGGCAGGAGCTAATTACTGTCATTTTTTTGGAGCATGTCTGGGCGTAAACCCCAAACACCACAGAGCCTCAAGCAGACAATGTCTACTAGGTAGGCCATTGGGATATTTTCGATTTTCCCTTATTGGGCTTCATTGGACCCTATTTACGAATACTTTTCAAAGCCTTTCAAGGGCCAACTAGTCTACGTTTGGATGGGCAATGAGCCGTGTGGCCGCCGTGGTGTCGTCATTGACCCTGAGACGCCGCAGTGGCAGATTGACCCAGACCTTAACCCTGAAAAACCTACCGTTTTAGGGTTCCCTATGTTGATTTCCTTATATAAGTCCATAAAAAGGTAGGTTCTTCAGGGCTAAGGGAAGGCTTGGCAGCAGAGGGACAGTGGACCGAGATCGCCTTTCGGATCTCTGGTGAGATCGCTCGTATAGCCGCCCTTCAGGGTTCGAAGTGTGCAAGCAGAGCCCTTGGGCTTCTTTGGAGTCTGAAAAAGTCTTCGAATCGCGCTCCCACAAGCGTGAGGACCACCCCAAAGCCCGAAGTGGTGAGGGCCGGGCTTTACGGTCTAGCGCTTTAGGTTTTAGGGTACCTGAAGATTCATCTTTTCCCAAATACCATGAAGACAATCCTACTAGTCTTAGGGTTTAGGGTGATTCACAATCCTACTAGTCTTAGTTAGGGCTTGGGCTCTAGTTTGAGGGGCGGTCTAGTATTTATTGAAGGTCCAGGGCCATACTCTTCGAGTTTTCAGGTCTTACGAACTGAAATTGTGGATTTCTTTCGAACTCCTGACTCACCGCGGGGGGCAGACGCAGGAACCCCATGCCCTAAACCTCAAACCTGAAACGTAAACCCCAAACCTTAAACCCTAACCCTGAAAACCCTACCTGTTTAGGGCTCCTTATTATGATTTCCTTATATATGAGTCCTTAAAAAGGCAGGTTATTTGGGGTCTAGTTAAACTTTTAGAGCCCTGGAGGTGAGACGATGCTGAAGCGGCTGGCAGCTGCTCTCCAGCAATTTCCGCAAGTGCCGGGGCCCCCGAAGCCCAACAAGCCATGGTGTTCTCCTAACTTTAGGGTTTACGTTTAGGGTTGGGGTTTGGGCTTTAGAGTTTAGATGAGGGTTTTTTTCGGGTTTAGGGTTTCGAGTTGGGGTTCTAGGGTTTAGAGTTTAGGGTTGGGGTTTAGGGTTTGGAGTTTAGGGTGTCGGGAGTCCTCTTGGGTTGGGGGGTTGAGGTTTAGGGCCGTTTAGGGCTTGGCCGTAAACTCGAAGCCTGAATATGTTTAGAAATAGTATTCGCAAGTGCTTCCACTTCAATACCAAAATGCACCCCTCAAAAAATCCTGTTCGAGTGTATTTACCCGATGATGCCTACTGCACAATGCTGGCCATGATCACGAAAGCCTTCAGCCGCTTCCTACCCTAAGGGTCCAGGTATCTTCCTAGGTCCTAGGAGGGTCCGAAATCTCCGAGGGAGAGTCCTTGGGTCTCTTTGGGGTCAATTTTAAGGTTCCCCAATTTCTTAGGACCCTTAGGGTAGGCCTGAGGGTTAACTAAAGACTCCAATATCCCTTAATTAAGGAATATACCGTAAATTATAGTAGAATCCCCAATATGAGTTAAGGCATGTCCCTTAATTAAGGGATATTGGGGTTTCTGGGTTAACTACAGTTACTAAACGCAATACCTGGGACCTAGCTCAAGGTTCACGAGGGCTTCCGGGTCTTAGGCCGCCTTCATGTACCCACAGACGCCCCCGGTTTAGGGTTTAGGGGACGATGTGAGTTTCAGAAACTGGGAGACTCCGATGGCCAGACCCAGCCTAAGGACAGAATGAACACCTCATCCTGACAAGCCTTTGAAAGAATTCTTTTCCAAGCCCGTCAAAACCCCTCTGAGACGTGGTGAAGCCTCAAACAGAGCAGCACCAAGGGGCTTGAGGATCGATGCCTACAGCGCCTGGAGCCCCAGAGATGAATGAGATGTTGCAGAAAATACATATATATATATATATATAAATATATATATATATATATATATATATATATATATACACTTATTGGCTCTAAACTCAACTTTTCAGCTTTTGGGGCTCTTATACGGTAGCCGATTCTGAAAGTTTCAACGTTTATCTTTTTTTGGTTTCGGGCCAGTGAGTGTATATGTATGTGTATATATATATATATACCAAGACAATCGTTCAAACGGCTTGGGATACAGGCATAGATAAGTGACGTATTAGGGGCGGGCTTGTTGTCTATGCCTGAGGGACATTAGGCTTTAAGAGCCGATTCCACTTGATCTCACCGATCATTTTCTACCATTTGCTTGGTCACAACTAGAAGAAGCGAACAAATGCTCGCGCCCACGTTCGTTTTCCCCTCGTTGCTCGAGCTCACCAGTCGCCAGCATTCGATTTCCGAACCCAGCGTGCACCAATGTACGCGCTATAGCGGTACAGGACCTGAGACCCTAAATCAGCAGGATGGCAAAGTGCCCCCTGCATTTTGATTCGGCCGACCTAGGCTTCAGAGCAAAATTTCTTATCTTGCAGTAGAAGTGTTGGTCCAAAAAACGAAACCATGTATATAAGAGCAAGCGTCTATGTCCTCGTCGGCATAGGTCGATGTACGCAAAGGCGAAGTCACCAGCACTTGTTCGTAAACCATGTGTTCAAGCCTCATGTGCCCCGGTGCTGGATGTGCCACGATTGGAGGAGCTTGCTGAACGGGGAAAGCTTGTTATATCCGAGGCACACATGCATTTTCGGACGAAGTTTCCATAAGATCTTGTTGCGGTTGTACGCATCCAGGGCACAATCTGGGATCGATTAGGGTATAGCGTCTAATTGCCTGGGGAACGATCGACTTCGATGGTCTTATGTGCAGCTTCGGAGCAGTTGTAAGCTGATCGATAGAGCACATAATGATTCTGCATTTCTGTGACGTTCTCATGCGGGACGTGAAACTTGTGACCAGATAAACACTCCCGCATCCCAGCCAAGTTCACAAAGATAGCTGCCATATTCCTTGGACACGAGATGAGCCTCTATAACAAAATTTCAGACCTCAATCCCGACTATTAGGATCGATCCCAGCTGCTCCCAATACGGATCAGGAGCCCTCCGGCTCGCCAGCTCCACGGTCACATATCTCAGCCACTTGACCATAACGATTGACTCCTGCATCGGATCCGGGTCGAGGTGTTAGATCCAGGTGTTAGACTAGGCGACGAAAGATCGAAAAACTGAGTTCGCAGCTGCTCCACTCAAATGCTTTTGTGATAGCGTTGGGTACACGAGTGAATTTTGCATAGCCTTCAATGACTTCAAAGAAAACGTAGGCGCACGATTTCCTGAGCAGCTTCAATATCGTGTATCATGTAAGATGTACTAGATAGACTCTAGATAGACAGTATGCAGAGAAGTGGCTGATCTTCTCACGTTTGCAAGCAGCTGCAAAATCCGTATAGGCAGCTGCCAATCGAATTTCTTGGTTTCCACCAGCCCAGGGGCTATCCGCAGCTTTGGCCGTCAGTTCTAGTAAAGCCTGCAATAAGGAAGCATAGAACGATCGGAACCATTGCATGCGTTCAATTAGCTATATTGCTAACAAGACTCGGATGCACAGGCATCCGGTGACAGAGCCAAATCAACGACGTGCAAATAATCCTCCCAGATTCGTTCTATGGCGAAACCAGGGATTTGTATCCAGGGATTAGCACCACATTTGTCGCGGATGAAAACCTCTGTGCTGTAAAGCCTCGGGTCACACATCATTTTTGGTGGACAGAGCAGCACGACAAGTACCGAGTTGCGTCGATCGGTGCTGGGCAGAAGGTCCGAAATGCACATAGCCCAGCGGAGAATTGCCATCTTTCGTAGCCTAGTGCCGGGATCGTGCGACGATGGCATGGCATGTATTTCATATAAAGCTGAGTCACACCACAAGAACGGCAAACCTGTTGGGAAGTCCAATAATTCTCAAATTTGTAACATTTGTGAAGATAAACTTGGTCTCCTTTGTGCCCTGCGAAGACAAAACGAAAATCCCCTGCAATAGGTTGCCCAGCTCTTTGTGCCAACTGGGGCATGTAGTCGGCATCAAATTGGCGACCATACCAATCATGGTCAAGATATTTCCCTGCAGCAGCACAAACCAATCCCCAGCAAATCCAGCAATCGATTTCAGAAGCAGTTGATTCTCCAGCACTGTTGTTGTCGAAGCAGCTGAGCAAGAGCTTGTGATCCCAGGTTGATCCGCCTGTGAGGGCGCTTGAAACGGTACTAATCGAAAACGATCTTCTTTTGTGCATCTCTGCGTCGTCGCCATGTATCTCGAGAGGTATCGTCCACATTAGTTGCTCGTTGCTCATCTTGGACAGCATCGGGTGATTTTTGAACCATGATGTATTACGATTCTTGGCCCAATACATTTCAAGATTCTCGTCTGCACTGGTCCCCAACAGGACCGATTGAAAAATAGTCAAATCGTAGTCGAACAGACTTTTCAGCCTCGGACATTTCTGAATTTCAAAACTGCGAATCCAAGAACAATCATCAAACCAATAATTTCGAGCCAAGGCTCCAATCTGGTATGAGAAAGACCGCATGCTTGCCCAAGAAGAAAGGGTCGGCTAGCTTGCGATTCACCTCAAGGCCGATATCTTAAGAGGTCGGCGGTGTGATGTCGTGATAGCACATAATGCAGCTTGAATGCTTGGTTCACATCAATCCTGAGAATATGATATTGGCTAGGTAGCTCTTGTCTTTCAAGCAAGCCTTAATATGACGACAAGTATCAATGTGGGGGATGGTAAGCAGGCCATCCACGGTTGCCGACGAAGCCAGCATCTAAAAATTCGTTGAACATTGTGATCGCATTTTGTAGATTCTGCCAGATCTCGAAAAGATGGCCTAAGTCGGATGAGCAGCAAAGTCGACCCCATACTATTTGCCCACTAGCATCTACGGTGCAGATAAGCAGCTCAAGAAACAGATCAGGAATACGTTTGTGAACCGCTGCCACAAAATCTCTGATCGTATGCACAGACAGCCTTCGTGACAACTCCAAGAACTCCTCCACCATCCCATAGACATCCTGCTATCCCAGGTTTGATTCTACGATGCGGGAGGATTGGGTCGATCGAGGCACTCCTGGGCACATTTCTCTGGTGCTGGTTTTGAATATGACATAGCTCACATCGATCGAGGCTTTCAAGTTTCAGGGATCTGTAGGACTCGAGGGTATATAGGTTCGTGGGACGTTGGATTGAAGGCCGGTGTAGGAAGTTGGGGATGGTTCAGAGGGTTTAGGGTTTATGGTTTTGGGGTTTAGTGGTTCAGGGTTTATAATAGGGTTTAGGCCAGCTTCTGGGGTTTAGGGATATTATATAGTAGTGCATAGGGTTTGGTGGCTTCAGGGCTCCAAGCGCTAAGGGGTATTGGGCTTAAGGATTTCGACCGGATTTTAAAGTTATGAGTTTCACGTACTCTACTCCGAGTACCGCTGCATGTGTACGGTCTGAGCCTCCAAAGCTTTTCGCATGAGCATGGATACATGCATACCGAAGATGTGCAGAAACTTGCACAACTACAATGTGTATATCGACTCTCGCACTATCTTTTTAAGAGCGGCCACATCCGATATCGCGTGACGAAGCTAGGATCTAAGCTTTGACTTTACCCCATCAAAGCAACCCATCTTCGATAGGAACTGGGTGTGTGGCGCTATGCACATACAGTTTGCAGATCTGGAAATCCAGCACTTCAGGCACTGTGCCTTCGGCGGTTCGTGCTTGCATCCGAAGCAAGCCAATTAAAGCTTTCAAAAGCAGCAAACAAGAGGCATCAAGCCTAGGATCATCATGCCGCCTTGGCCTTCCGGCCAGACTTCTTGGCATCCGTTTTGGCCTTCTTAGGCTTTCTACGGTTTGCTTCCTTAAGATCGTCGTCGATTGAAACAGCCTGTGCCATGAACTTGTCATACCAGGGCTTCAGCTGCTCAGCACTCAAATTCTTCTTGAAGCAGCCCTCGACCTCGCTGGTCAACGTGGGCAGCGAAGACTGAGTGGCTGTCAGGGCATTGACCTTGGATGGGAGTACCGATATTAAAACTGACTAGGGTTTCGGGTTTAAGGTTTCTTAGACGTATGTCACCTGAAAACTAGCTAGCATATTATATGTTAGCAGAGCACAGAACCTATAGAACTGACTATATAAGGCCCTAGCTAGATCTGCACAGTGCTTCGCCGAAGAAAGGTCCCGAAGTCGTTCGGTGATCTTCTCATCGAAGCTCTTGAACCTTCGAAGGGTTTTGTGTGCTAGGCTTTGGAATTTGGGGCTTGGGGGTGTAGGGTTACAGAGATAAGGGTCGATTATTTAAAGTCAGCCTAGGGGCTTTCTGATCAGCCCACGGTAATCCGAAACCATCTTCTCTTCTGCAGTCGTCTCCTTAGGCTCTTTCTTTTGTTTTTTTAGCTTGATCCTTCCCGTCTCTCGGTCGAAGTACTCCGTACCTTCCATGGCAGCCAATGGAGCTTTGATTTTCTCAGCGATGCTCTTCTTCGCAGCATCATCAGTAACAAGCCCTCCGACGGTGGTACTCGTCTCGGTTCGATTGGATCTGCGGCGTTCGTCCACCAAGAACCGAAGCACCCGATACATACGGGCTTTCTTCACGTTGGGAGCCTGAGGGTGGGCAACCCCCTTTTGTCCTCGGTAAAATGCTTGGTATTGTACATAATGACACAAGGCCCTAGATCTAATTTAAGCTAAACTTCCGGAGATGAGCTCGGCAATAAATTCTTGTGCATCAGGGGAATCTCCAAATTCCTTCTCTAGTTGCAGCACCGTCATGGTGACGTAGTGGTCCGACTCGGTATTCTCGACGATGCGTTTGTACCTTAAGCGTATAGCGCACAGACTTGCGGTTTTTGTTTTATGTGAGGTAAAGTTCAATCTAGGAACGACTCCTCCACACGGATGGCCCCAAGCTTGCCATCATTCAGCATCCATTCCTTGAGCATACCGAACCTTGCACGACAGGCTGCTTCGATGGGCATATGGGATGATTGCAGACTGAGGCTCAACCCAGGGGGTTTATGCGATCAGGGTTTAAAGGATTTAGGGTGCGTTTAGCTAGGGTATAGAGGATTTATGGCCTGACCAATACAATAGATCGATGTGTCTAATCGACATGGGTTTGGGAACTAATAAACATGGCATCGGATTAAGATCAGTGTTAAGTCTTCGATCCTTCGGGGTGCTAGCAAGCAACTTTGCATCATCATCAGATGCGTTCCATTTGGCCACCAATGCGGGGTGCATAGAGCCCTGACTCTTCAATTGGCGGCCGAGGGCGGCAAACTGTCGTTTGCGCTCAGGTCGGGGCATAGCCTTAGATAGTGCTACATGATATGCATAGACTATATAGGTACACCAAGCATTATCATACCGCGCAACAGAAGGTCCCGACATAGCCGAAAGTGCGGTTTTCTGCATTTCTGCTCGTCAGTCAGTTTGGCCATTCTCCCCTGGTCGAGGGCGTGATTATAATATGCATTAGATTAAACAAGTTCAGCACTAAGAATCTGGCCTGTGCAGCCTTTGCAGTTGCTACCGGTGTCGGTGTTGGTGCTACCGGTGTTGGTGCCACGGGTGCTGGTGCCACGGGTGCTGGTGCCACGGGTGCTGGTGCCACGGGTGCGGATCCACGTGGACCATTCGGGGGGCTCGTGTCGTTCGATGCTGTGTGCTCCTCTGGGCTCTGCTTGTTTGCAGCTGGAAGTGCTTCAGTCTTCGCTGGTGCTGCTGCTGATGGATCCTTCGGGCTCGCGGCGTGTGCTGCTGCTGGGTCGTTGTCTGAAGGTGGGGCCGCTTGCTTTTCGACCTGAGAGTCTTCCTGTGAATCGAGGTGGATGCTGGCGACTGTCATGGTTCGCTCCATTTGGCTAAGCTTGTTGGGCTTGTCATCAGGCTTCCGGTATGTGTCGGCATCGAAGAACTTAGCTAAGCTCTCAGGGTTCAAGTCTCTGACAGGCTTCTCCTGGGGATGCTTTTCCGTGCTTTCGGGGCTGTCATTCTTCGGCCGAGGGGACGGGGTGTCGGTGGACACGGTTGCACGCTTCTTGGGTACGGGATTCTCCTCAGAGGATTCGGCTTTGCGCTTCTCGTGCGGCTCAGCGGTCGATGCCTTGTCTTTCTTCTCCTTTTTATCCTTTTTATCCTTTTTCTCCTTCTTCTCCTTCTTGTCCTTCGTTGCACAGTTCTGCTCATTTAGCTCAATCTCGTCGGTCGGGGATGTCTTGGGCTCGGCAGTTGGGGCTGGCAAAGGTTCGGGTGTCTCCTCCTTGTCCTTCTTTCCACCTTTCTTCTCCTTCGGCTTAGGGGGTGCGACAGGCTCGGCAGTTGGAGCTGGCAAAGGTTCGGGAGTCTCCTCCTTGTTCTTCTTTCCACCTTTCTTCTCCTTCGGCTTAGGGGGTGCGACAGGCTCGGCAGTTGGGGCTGGCAAAGGTTCGGGAGTCTCCTCCTCCTTGTCCTTCTTTCCACGTTTCTTCTCCTTCGGCTTAGGGGGTGCGACAGGCTCGGCAGTTGGGGATGGCAAAGGTTCGGGTGTCTCCTCCTCCTTGTCCTTCTTTCCACATTTCTTCTCCTTCGGCTTAGGCTCGTCGGTCGTGGATGTGATGGGCTCGGCTGCTGGGGCTGCGGCGGGCAAAGGATCGGCTGTCTTCTTCTGATTATTCTCTGCACTCTTCTTCTGCTTATGTCTCCTTTTCGGCTCGGCAGCTGGGGCTGGGGGTGCCGGAGATTCACTTTTCTTGGCCGTGTCCCGGGCTGCCAACTTCTTCTTCGCAAGCTTCTGTTCCTGCTTCACCAGAAAAACAGCAGCTTCACGAACATTGCCCTTGTGGTTCGCCAATGCTTCGATAGCGACATCCATCTCGAACCCTAGCTTCTGAAGCTTCTGTATCTTTTTTTCATCGCTATCTCGGGACGGTTTGGCGGCAGGCTTGCCACCACCGTTCGAGGGGCCAGGGCCCATTCCCAAGCATCCTTTCCTTAGATATACTACAGATACAGATCGATCGAAGTTTTATATTGTCCATCGTACTGCAGGTCTAATACATGACAAGACACTCTGCCCTCGGCATGATAAAGGCCTGCTTTTCAGGGGATATATGGATCGATTTAAAATACATAGTAGGTTCTACTCTATGCACGCATGCCATAGCCCGCACCTTGTGATCGTTCACCCACCAAGGCCAGATGCTACGCAGCAAAATGCTGCTACTTTGAGAGAAGTGATGCGACACGGGGTGACACGAACAGTAGACAGGACCATGTTATCTTCAGGGGGGGGGTGACACGGCGTGACACGCTAGTGACACGCATCCTCTCTTTCGAATCGTTCAGCACTTTTTGTATCGTGGTGAAGCCACGCATCGATCGAGCAGTGTACACACGCTAGCAGCACTAGGAGTCTACTTCTTCCATCCAGCAGAACCATGGATTAAGTCATCTAAGCAATCATCATCACTGCCACCATCGCTCAAATTCTCAAGTATGTCGGTAAAACCCGGCAGGTCGCGCGATGCGGATGCTGCAGATCGAGCGTCTGCAAACCTCAGTGATCCAGGGGAGGGTCTGGACTTTGGGTCCATTCGGGTTGCGATTATTGAAAGCCAGTAGACAGCTTAGCGATCGTCATCCCGAAGCTCGCAGTATATTCTTGGCTTCCTCGAAGATCTTTGCCACCGGCCTGGGATTCCCGGGCAGAAAGCCATACCCTGAATCCATCTGAATCCTACACCCCAAACCCTAAATCCTTAAACCCTAAATCCTAAACCCCAAACCCTCAACCCCAAACCTTAAACCCTAAACAATTGATTTACGGTTTAGGTGTTTAGGGGTGTAGGGTTAAAGCGCTTTAAGCCCACAGTCGTTTGTATGATAGGATCGGGAAGCTTTTATTCAATAGAATATTTGTGGAATTCAGCCTATGGGTGTATGGTTAGCACCAGTAACCCCTAAGATTATCGATGCCACCATGCCGAATCTGAATCGCAAAGGCAATTCACATAGGCCTATATATAGCTGATATCTAGCACAGTCTAGTGCGGCTGGGCTGGGGGTTCCTTGGACGGCTACGGATAACTTGGCCGATCGCTCTAAGTGCCATGCGCAAGCTCGCGAGGGTTCAAGGGCTTACACAGTACGTAGGGTTTCCCGACCGGCTGGTCAATATTTATATAGGGTATTATAATTATTAGGGTTTACCTTTACGATCGGGGCCTGGGTGCCAAGATGGGGCTAGTGTAGCCGAGTGGGCTGTGGATAGTAGCATAGATTATATGTCGGGGTAAACTAATTAAAACTAACATATACCCTCGATTGCTTTAAAAATTAATATATAACCCTAAACCCGGACCCTAAAACGCCAACTGGTAGAGTACTATGAGGAATCGCGTTTAGGCAACTCGCGCAATGCAGCACACATGATTGATCCGCCCCAGTGGAAAGCTAGGGTACTAGACAAACCACGTCCTCGTAGTCAGATTGCGCAATCGTACAGGATGTCATAGGGGTGTGATAGTAGCCCGCGGTCACTGCTAATGCCGGGCCAAGGTCTAGTAGACCTAAACAGGCTGTTGGCTGTTGGGCTTTTGTGTTGCTCTGCTCCGGGACTTCGGACTGGGTCCTGCTACCTCTACGTTTGCTTCTATAGTAGAAGCCAGAAAGTTGGAACATGGCTTTTGTAGGATTCGTGCTAGGATCCCTTATACTTTACATTAAAGCTATGAGGATAATGATGTTCCAACTTTCTGGCTTCTACTATACTTTAACTTAACCAAAAAGTGTACCAACGACGGGGAGCGTATTCAAACAGCACCCTGCGGTTTGTGTTGTCCTTTGCCAACGTTGGCTCAGGTAGTTCGGTGCGGCCATTAGATATCCGTCTGTCTAGATCTCGTTGATTGCTAGCTGAAAGTCGGAGCTCCGGTTGCGTCGACTAGGAAGGCTATTCCAAGACTTGTGAGATTTTAGCTAGTGTGGTGTCGACTTGAATTTTCGCTTTCATGTCGGGCAGGTTTGGAATTTCGGGCACTTTATGGCTTCCAGGCTTGGATGGATGAAGAGGAGAGGGTGTGAGAAGATACTACGGGTTCCGGGTTTGGGCTTCGAGTCACACCTACACCTTAATCCAGGTTTTCAGGCCAATAAATGTAATTGTGGATCCTGCATCGGATACTGCGGCGCTGTAAAGTGTTGGGCACAGGCCTGGTTAGGATCTGGGGTATATGTGGGATATCGGGGGTTAGAAAACCCATTATGTATAAACCGGAGCATCAGAAGATCCTCTTAAGAACCCCACCTGCTAAATATCTACACGAAACCGGACTCACCGCTTGCACCGGTCGGAAATTACTTCCCCTAGAAGCCCGAAGCCGAAACCTAAAACCCATCACCCCTCATTCTAAAGCGCTCCTTACAGCCAACGTACAGCTTCTTTCGAAATCGGGCGAAAAGAACTTGACATGGTTAGTATGAACGATGATATCCGAAACCAAACTTAATCCTCAAGACAGGACCATTTAGGTAATTTAGGTCCAAGGTCCCCAGAATCGATACCTATAGTCTCCATTGGAGTTCCTTTTTTTTATGCTTCTGATCATACATATATATATATATATATATATATATTAATTAACCAAAAAAGGAACCACAATGGAGACTATAGGTATAATTCTCAATCCCCAAAAAGCGCCCGTCAGCAAATTAGTGCACAACCCATAATCCATAATGATGGTCGAAGTGCCCAACGACTAACCTTGCCCTGCCCGGCCCATACCCACACATGTCACACATGTGTAGACCCATCGGAGCTACGGTAGCAACAGCCTTAGGGTAGTTTGGGTTTAAGCCTTAAGGTACCAGAAAACTGATATATCAATTATTAGAATCGAAAGTCGCTATAACCCAGGTCGATGCCAGCGTGAGAGCACCGGGTCAGCAGAAATCACACACCGATCCTTGCACTAAGCTGGTCAACCCTACACCTAGAACCCCAATCCACACCTATACCGAGTACAGCTGTTTCTGTTAAGGATTTAGGGGCGACTAATTGCGACCAAATGACTACCTTGGTATGTCCTGACATCTCATCATAAGTGCGGGTGACGATCTGTAGGCCATCCAGCTTTTGCTGTTTCAAGTAGTTCTGCACGATCTTCGATAGATCAGTGCCCAAAGATCCCAGATGAGGCAGAGTGCCCCAAAGCCTTAATTGTCATCATCAACTCGAGGTCAACTGTCATACATAGCCTAGCTGACGGAATACGAAGCATGTGCTAAATTGCAGCCAGTGTACAAGGTGGGCTTTTTACTTCGACTTCCATACCGGGCCATCGGGAATTGCACACAAGTAGCCCTCATTTTAAGGAGAAGTCGCCGGACCGGAGAATACTCGTACATGACACTACCCAGCGGCTGCTCGACCACCACGAAGTGCCCCAGCATGAAAGCGATCCGCAACCTGAGTGGAGAATGGCACAACATACCAACTAAGTATAAGTAATCTGTCACGGTATCTTGAATTAAGACAAAGTTGCACATATACCATCCTCCGTACAAATACATTCGCACGTCTCACCTTCTTGAAGCGCTGGGCGAAACCTGCCGGGCGGCCTTTGCGGCGTCCAGTGGAGTGTTGTGACCTGGAGCCAGGCGCTCGGGTATTAGCATATATAAAGTAGCATATTCCCGAAGCACACACAATCGTTTCCGATAAGGTCCCTACACCCAGACCCAGGAACTGCATGGAGGAGCGAACCACACCAGAGAATTTGGCCGTAGGTTTCGAATCTGAGATCATCAGCTTAAAGCACTGCATGTAAATACAGACCACAATAATGCGAATTCAAGAAGCCGCAGTCAGGACTGCCATGAAGCCGATCGTTCGCATAAAATCGTGATTGCCACTATACCGAGCCTTACGTACAGCTCCACAGGTCTCATAAATATTATTATTAAACTAGACACATGTAACCACGATGCATCAAAAGGCTTCCCAGCAAAGCCGAAATATGTCAGAGCATCGGTCAAGGCCTTAGTCTTATTGCATCTTGTGGCAAAGCAGTTGGCCGCACAAGATAATTATCTGCGGCAGAGTAGCATGCTGGCCAGCACACATTTCGACCTGAGCTGACGAATGCAGCAAGAGGCTAATCGAGAGATGCTGGGAGATTCGAACAGTATACTTCGGCTTAGCTACGAAGTCCATCCGGCAGGAAGGCAAAGGAACTTGAAGAGCAAGCTCCAGAACAGGACGTAGGTTCGCCATACGTACGGAAAGGGCATGCCCAAACAGGCACACCACCAGCAGCAGCAGCATCATCTATATAGATTGCAGTGCCACTACACGGATCGACACATCCAAGCCCACAGCTGGACTGCAAAGTCATTAGCATCGACATCTGTGCAAGCTAGACTGCAGGCTCTGCGACACAACTCGGCGGCAAAGGTTGCAGGGCGATTCGCAGCAGAGTTTTTCTCGAGTCTGTAGCACAAGTTCCTGATGCCCCACAACTAGCACCTTTATCCAAAAGCGGACCTCTGTCCAGCGCACGACAAAATCTGAATGCATACATGTACACACTCACGGATCAGAAGGCGATGCTGCCGAGTTGTCAGAGTCATCGCTGTCCGGCGAATCGTTGTCCGATTGGTTAGCCTGCAGCGGGAAAAGATTAAGTCAGGGATTACCGGGGGTGATTTGAGGTTTAGGGGTTTAACAGTTATTGAACTAACTAATTCGACGGGGCACTTCGGGCTCGGGCTTGATGTCCTTTGGTTTGCCATTCTTGGCCTTGGCGGCCTGGATCTTTACCTGAGGAAAGAACTATGAATCCCACTTCACTAAATCCCTACACCTGACCTCAATACTAGGAAAGCCCAGGCACTGACCTTGCCTTGTACATCCCCGCTTTGGCTGCATTTTTAAGCTCTGTAGCAGCATCGCCTTGAACAAAACGTACTACCGAATCTTCGCGTTATCCGCGCTTCTCGGCCTTAACCTTGCTTGGCTCCTGAAACCCATCCGGGCCCCAGTAAAGGTAGTACACCTGGCCCTTGTTCTTGCCTTAGCTGAATCTCACCGAAATCATACGTGTTCAGCAGGTGATATATGCATGCATGACTAGTATGAATTTATGCAACATATGTTACCCGATGGCCGAATCTTCGTCTCCTTCATCCAACCGGATTCGTAAACAGCCAAGCCCTCCTTCTGCTCCTCGCGGGTCCTTAGATCGATTGTTCTTCTCAGTATCGGTTTGTATGTTTTATATACTAACTGGGGCTTTGGTTTAAACTGATCTGCTGAGTTTCTCCTTCTTGGGCTTATTCTTCTCTCTCTGGTTCTTGAGCATCTTTAGCTGCTCTTGCGGGGTCAGAACCGGCTTGGAGGCAGCTTCCAAAGCTGCATTTTGCACACGATTCACATCAAGAGCGGCCACTCCATCGATCGTGAACTTCGACGGCACCACATCAGCAGCCTGCATATAAGCAGAAATCTATATGAATGACATGTTCCGGTCTATCAACTTAAATTTATCTGGTTTCTGATAGATGTGCCTTCGGAGGCTCATCGGTCTTGATTTCCAAGCTTCGCTTCGGTCGCGGCTTCGGTTTCTCACTATCAGAACCATCCGAGCTGCTGAGCTCCACCTCCCTTGAAGCATCAACCAGCTTCTGCAGGCTGGCCGAAGAAGCGGAATCATCGTCGCTCAAGGACTGACCATCTATTGAGCCCACCTCCTCAGAATCACGGGGAACCTCGGCCGCCACCACGGCTCCATGTCCCGTCTCCTTAGAATCCCCGGGTTCCTTGGCCGGCACCATGGGTCCATGTCCCGCCTCCTTAGAATCACGGGGAACCTCGGTCGGCGCCATCGGTCCATGTCCCACACTTGTGGCTGCTGCAGCACTCTTGGCTGCAAGCTGGGTCCGCACGGTAGCCTCAGTGGATCGTGAAGCCCCGAACTTTAACTAATTTTCAATCAACCTCTAATATCATGCAAGCAAGAAACACCGTGCTTGTCTAGCCACGAATTCCATTTCAACACGTCATCAACCGGGTCGGGACCAAAAGCGAACTTCCCGTCGGGCTCACGGTACTCACAATAGAATGGGTACAGCTCATGCGACTCGATGGCTTGCAACAGGTTGGCGACTGCTGAGGGCTTCATGGCCCGAAATTTAGCCTTAAACACTTCGTCATCCTCATCGCTACCGTCGTCATCATCTTCACTACTTGCATCTTCCTCACTCGCTTGCTGCATGTCAACATCACCGGATTTCGGCTCATCCTCGGAGGGGGACTGTAGGTCCTCGCTTCCACTGCCAACCATTTCATCCGAATCCAATTCATGCTGGGGCTGAGCTGGCATAGCCTGCATCCAGTTAACTCGATCGGGCACAAGACGCACAACTACATTATCTCACCCATGCCAAGCCTCCAAGTCCATAGGCAGGGTTTCACAAGTGTCCATATCCGGGCCTCCGGCCTAAGCTGAGGTTTGCTTATGATGTTTGCCGACTGCACATTTGCAAAGCGAAGATTTATCGGCGAGGAGCGGCTTCATGCTTGCCGTGCTTCCACCGACTCTGCCGGCGGTTTGCAGCGGTTCTCTTGAACACATCACGAACCTTCTCGGCCTCAAAACAAATGAAATGAATCATGATTCTTATGAGTTCAGCAACTCGGGTGATTCAAGCAAACGTGCACCTCGTTTTGAATCCATCTGGACTGGTTCACACGCTTGTCACCTGATCGGTCCACCCAAAACGAAACACACCCATGATCGTTGAAATTGATCTACCTATTGTAATTCGTGCGAATCCAAGCATCAAAGCTTATAGCGCGATGTCAACGATGCCACAAGCATTTTGACATATTTCTCATGTGGCACCCGCCCAATCTTAGAAGCCTCATAGGCTTCTCGAAGCCACTGATTTGGCTTCCTCTGCAGCCGACCGCCACAGCAAAGGGAGCCTGCTTGCTCGATCGACGGCCTTTGTTCATTTTTCTGCATGGTTTGATTTGCTATATATCGCGAAAGGTACTGTGCAATCAAGGAACACGTGGATACGGGCATCCATCTGAAGGAAAAGCTTCTTCACACAATCCGGGCAATCTTCCAGCTCATCTGGAATCTTGTCATTTGTCGACGGCAGCGAGCATTCAGACGACATGCTTCGAAGGGACGACATCTCTTATTACAAAGATACTGAATTGAAAGAAATCCTCGCAATCCATGGGGCTCTTGGTTCGAACTTCGGACGGCGACCGGCGAGAATTTCGTTTCAAGGACGATGATGATAAACCCATAATTTCCGAAGGTCCTTACTATCCCCAACCCATCAGTTATAAACAAACGCATCGGTAATACAATACTTTTCTTTGTGCGTACACGATGACATCACTTCGACCCTCCTGGTATATATATATATATATATATATATATATATATACATATCTGTTTATGTACACACACACACATAACATACCTAACAATACTAAACCCCAATTTGTGTAGGCTAGTACTGGACCAAAATATGACTTTCTAGGACCCCACCAAAAAACTAGGTCTTTATATGAGCCTTTTCCTCTAGACCCCTGAACGGCGATGCACCCTGCTTCCAAGTTTGTCCTTCAGCATAAAGGTCGGACAACTTCGTAGCACTATACCCTCAGATCCTTTATCGTATTAAAGTCTTACGCCCCCCCCCCCCCCCCCGCTCAAAAAAGAAACATGTATGTCAATCCTTGCGGCCGTTGTGATAGGACTTTCGGGGTCCCTTCATTGTCTGAGGGAGAAACCCGGAAATGTTCTAACGGGGTGGGGGTATGTGAGGCCTTGCCGGTTAGGAGAGAGAGTGAGAGAGAGATAGAGATAGAGAAACCTGTGTTCGTATACTAATATAAGTGTGTATGTGTGTATGTACGTATGTATGTACACAGATATGGCACAGACACACAGGCGCACACCTCCTACGTGTTTGTTTCCCAGGGCCTGGGTCTGACGGTTGAAGATATAAATCCTGCGTTACCTTAAGGACCCTAAACTATGGGAATCATGGTATATTCCTTATTCTGGGTCTTGCAGGATTTATATCATCAACAGGAGGACTTGTGGCTGAAGAATTGTCCGTTAAGACTTCCCCTAAGGCTCCATGTACCCATAGAGTAGGTACTTAGGCCTCAAAGGGGTCCCTATATGGCTACTTTAAGGCCTATGTACTTACTGTATGGGTACATGGAGCCTTTGGGTTCGTGTTTAGCGACGCTTTGGGTGGTCCCTGCCCAAGCCTCTTCGGATGATACTAGCCGGATCAACACTAGTACAAGTATTACTGTCGTGCTAGTAGTAGTAGTAGTAGTAGTAGTAGTAGTAGTAGTAGTAGTAGTAGTAGTAGCCAGCGGCGTGTTTACCGTACCCGTGAAATCGGCTACTGGGGACTGGGGGGGGGGGGATAATAACGACATGGTTGACCGTAAGCAGTAACGGGGGGGGGGAGGGGGGCTAATAACGACATGGTTGACCGTAAGCAGTAACACAGTAGCGCCGGTAGCAGTAGCAGTGGTAGGATGCTTGTAACAACGTGTCTTGCTCCACATTCTTGTGCAGCATGTACAAAAAGCCAAACATGCTGTAAATACCAGTGTTTTGGGCATGACCGCCAAAGGCAATCACATGAACATTAACCTGACCATCTTCAGCATAACCATCATCTTCGCCATCTTCAACATCATCGTTAACTGCATCACCGGCCTTATGTTGATGATGACGACGATTATGAGGATGATGATAGGGATGATGACTATGAGGATGATGAAGATGATCAGGTAAACGATGATTTTGAGCATGGCGAGGATGATGGTTATGAAGATGATGATGAAGATGGTCAGGTTGATGTTCATGTCACTGCCTTTGGCGATCATGCCCAAAACGCTGGTATTTACAGCATTTTGGGCTCTTGGTACAACATGCTGCACAAGGATGTGGAGCAAGACACGTTGTCACAACACACGCGCGTAAACCTTTTCGAGCAACGCCTCCCACACAAAACGCAAAACAGCCTTGTCATTTGCGTACTTCCAAAATACACTGAAATAAGCACGCCACCACAGCGGCAGCTGCGTTTTTCAATATTTAGGGGTACGGTAAACACGGTGGCGGGTAGTAGTAGTAGTAGTAGTAGTAGTAGTAGTAGTAGTAGCAGCAGCTGCAGTCGTAGTAGTAGGGACGAGGAGCAGCAGCAGCAAGAGCAGCAGGAGTAGTAGTCGTCGTCGTAGTCGTAGTAGTAGCAGCAGCAGCAATTGTAGTACGTGTAGTAGTAGTAGTAGTTGTTGTTGTTGTTGTGGTGGTTGTTGTTGTTGCTGTAGCTTTGGAGGACCCTTTGGAGGAGTTAGAGAGAGGGGCAACAGTTTCACGCAAGATCCCTAAACGCCAAACCTTATGCCCCAAACCCTGAAACCCCAAAGCCCTAGACCCCGGAACCCTAAACCTCTAAACTCCGAGCCCCAAACCCCTAAACCCCGAGCCCCTGAACTTAAACTTGTGGGAATTAACACGAACCTTGAGCTCCTCCGGGTCGCGCAGAATAGCTTGGGTACATCCCCCACTCCGTAATAGTTGAATAATATTCATAATATAGATATTGTAGGACCTTAATAGTAGCCCTATTATCGACTCTTACTGTATGGGGGGCCGTACCTAAAGCCACTATAGTCTTGAGGGTTTACGGTGGTCGGATCGAGTGGCTCAGTCTTTGGGGTTTACCCTAAGGGTCCAGGTATCTCCTTAGGACGGTCCGGAATCTTTTAGGGAGAGTCCTTGGGTCTCTTTGGGGTCTCAGAAACCCTTCATTTTGAGGTTCCCCAGTTTGTTAGGACCCTTAGAGTAGGGTTGATTCTGTCATAAGCGCTAAAGCGGGAATTAGGATTTAGGGGTTTGGGGTTTAGAGTTTGGGGGTTTAGGGTTCAGAGGCTTCTTACGGCTTACAGGGTTTAGGGATCTTGGGTGAAGCATCATAAGCCTTAAAGTAAGACTAAAGCCCGACTCAACGGATCGTGGGACGTAGAAACGTAGAAACGAATAGCCCCAAAGTCAGGAAACTATTATACTACTGTTGATGATATAAATCCTGCATTACCCATAATAAGGAATATACCATAATTCCCAGAGTCCCAGAGTTTAGGGTCCTTAAGGTAATGCAGGATTTATATAATCAACCGTAGTAACCCTAAGGGTCCAAGGGACCCAATAATTAGGTATTCGGTTTTAGGATAGTTATGTAGGTTACTATGTTGGAGAGTATATGATAATTAGGTACTTGGACCTTTAGGGTAATAACTTCGAACGCTGCGCAAGGAACGTATATCCTTATTCACCAAGTTCCATGACGACACACGGACAGCCCTTATACACCGGATGCGATTGTCGCTGCCAGGGGCATAGCAATGACCGCATGGCGCCGGGAGCTTACACGACACACCACTCTAGAAAGTGTTCAGCGTTGGCAGGTTGTTGGGGCAGGGTTTAAGAATTCAGGGTTTAGGGTTTAGGGTAGAGTGTTTGGAGGGTGTGTAGCCGATGTTGCAGGTTTGACGTCAGCAACGTTCTGATCGCTCAAGGGATGAGGATCAGACTGACGCACAACGTGGACAAGGACTGAGCCTTCGTGAATGGCAATACGGGTGTCGTTTGCAGTGTATTTCGTCGGGACATCGTCAGCCGCTGCCCAGTCTCAGTAGCTGAGTGGATACACTTTACACTTTTTTGGGATAGTATTTCCCACTATAAGACTGAAAGTGTAATTACACTTTTTGGGGCCTATGAACTCAGCAACTAAGATAAGGCAATTACTCGGGTCTCGGATAGTAGCTATGTAGGTTGCAGTTTGGGAGAGTATATGATATTCAAGTACTTGGACCCATAGGGCAAAGCCCGCAAATTGCCGGTGATGGTGGGCTGCCACAGGACCTAGAAATTAACTAGGTTTTGGATTCAGGGAAGAGTTTAGTATTTTAATCAAATTGTATTTTGGAGGTGCATTTGACGACATTAAGAGTATTATATATGACCATAAGGAACGTAATTATGATATTCAGGCACTCGGACCCGTAGGGTAAGCCCGGGTGGTATCCGGTATGAGGCTGCGATTGCAGCTTATTTTTGGGCATCGCGGACAGCATCAACCCCAGCAGAACCTGCCCACTTGGACGACGAAACTACTGATCCTTTCTTTCATGGGAACCTATGTTCCTGAGTAGTAC